ATTGCTGATGTCAGATGGATCTTGGCTGAAAGCAGAGAATACCAGAAAGATGTTTACCTGTGTTTTATTGACTATGCAAAGGCATTTGAGTGTGTGTATCATAACAGATTATAACATTGTGAAGAGTGGAAATTCAAGAACACTTAATTGTGCTCATGAAGAACCTGTACATAAGACTAAGAGGCATTTGTTCAAACAGAACAAGGGGATACCGTGTGGTTTAAAATCAGGAAAAGTGTGTGTCAAGGTTGCATCTTTTCATCGTACTGTGTGCTGAGCAGATAATCCAAGCATGTGGTGTCAGGATTGGTGGAAGATTCATTAACAACCTGCAGTATGCAGATGACACAGCCTTACTTGCTGAAAGCAAAGAGAACTTGAAGCACTTACTGATAAAGATCAAAGACTACAGCCTTCAGTATGGATTACACCTCAACATAAAGAAAACAGAAATCCTTATGACTGGACCAATAAGCAGCGTCATGATAAACGGAGAAAACATTGAGGTTGTAAAGGATTTCATTTTACTTGGATCCAAAATCAAACCTCATGGAGGCAGCAGTCAAGAAATCAAACATCATATTGCATTGGGCAAATCTGCTGCAAAAGACCTCTTTAAAGTGTTAAAAAAGCAGAGATATCACTTTGAGGACTAAGATACACCTACCTAAGCCATGGTATTTTCAGTCTCCTCATATGCATACAAAAGCTGGACAGTGAATAAGGAAGATCAAAGAATAATTGATGCCCTTAAATTATGGTGTTGGTGAAGAATATTGAATATACCATAGACTGCCAGAAGAATGAACACATCTGTGTTGGAAGAAGTACAGCTAGAATGCTCCTTCGAAGCAAGGATGGAGAGACCTAGTCTCATGTACAGTCCATGGAGAAGAACATCATGCTTGATAAAGCGAAAAAGACGAAGGTCCTCAACGAGATGGATTGACACAGTGGCTGCAACAACGGGCTCCAATACAGCAATTAGTGTGAGGATGGCACAGGATGGGAAAGTGTTTTGTTCTGTGGTTCATAGGGTCGCTATGAGTCAGAACCCACTTGACAGCACCTAACAACAATATCTTTAGAAAAACACAGCGAACTTCAAGTGGGTTCAGGAAAAACCTTCAAAGATGATCAAAGAACTAAAAAATAGGATCAGTGAGGAGCGTTAAAGGAATTTAAATTCCTTTCCTGGAGAAGGGAAGTCTAAAAAATGATTGACTAGTTCTGTTTTTTGAAGATAGCACTTACAGTATTCACAGGTTATTGAGAGCTGTTTTATCTTGTTACCAAGGACATAAGAGCAATAGGCTAAGGTCTAGTAGTGGAGATTTGAACTAAATATAAACACGTTTTAAACTATGAAACTTGTAAAACACCAGCATGAATTCTCAAGGGAGGCTGAGGAATCTCCTTCCTTGGAGTCTTAAAAATAGGATGAGTAATCATCTGATCTACTTAGAAGTAGGGAAATGAATTAAATGACTTCCCAAAGGCACTTTTGTCCCTGTGATTATTATTTTTATCTGTTTTTGGCATGGACTTTAAAGATGAAGATCTTGGAACAGAACTGACAGTGGAGCCAAAAAGCAAATGAGTTGCCAATTAAAAATAATTCTGGTTCTTTTTTCTAAAAGTCATTACTGTAACAATAAATAATGTTAGGTAATTGTATATACTGAGTTTTTAAAGAGAAATCATAATAATGTGATAATTTTGCCTATCATTTGCACAAAAGGGATGATCCTTTAAGGAGATTATGCCCTTCAGGGTAAGGTTCGGTTGTCTGAGCTAGTTGTCTGTGACACTGGCGGTGCAGAGTAATTAACCAGCCCGTTCTTGAAGTTTGGACTCGAGCCAAGTGTGGTGGTTTGCCTGCTTTATCTCTGGGGTCATTAGAAAGCTTCATTTCTGAAAACTTAAATCCCACATTGAATAAAGTTACATATTTTAATTGCATGTACAATCTTTAATTCTCTTAAATGTAAAAAGAAATACAAGAATGTTCCTAATGGCACTGTTGATACTATTGAAAGCTGCGAACAATCCAAATGTCCAAAATTATAGACATACATATATATATTGACATATATACAGAGGAGTACTACAGACATTAAAAATTAATATAGCTATCCTTACTGCCATGGAAAGATGTCATTATCACATTGTTGACTTCAAAGAGAGGCACAGTATACTACAGCAAATATAGTACATGTTGTCGTTTATATAAAAATATATTTATGAATCATTTTATATATAATCATGTATAAAGAAATGCTTGAGGTTAATCACTGTTAATAGTGGTTCTCTTTAAGTGATAGAATTTCAGACTTATTTTTACTTTCTTTTGGATTTTTGTTGTATTTTAATTTTTCATAGTGAGCATGCATCATTTTTCTACAAAGAAAAAAACTGTTTACTATCCAAAATTCATAATAAAATAAGAAGGGAATACATGCTGGTATTCCAGACAGTTTGGCATCTGGTTTCCTAGGAGAATATATTTCAGGAGAATATTTCATGGTAAGGGAGCTATCCTTGAATGACAGCTCCCTCAGAAAGTCTATTTTTATTTAAATATGTATGGAAGGGATTGTATGTAATTTAGATTCATCTTCTCCAGCTGTGCTTTCAAAGAGAAATTGTAAGAAAATACAATCACATATGGATATCTTCTCTAAAACATTATGTAATTCTTAGTCCTGGGCTACTCTGAAAATTTAGGAATAGAAAAATCCCGTTTATCTAAATCTGATCACAATTACTCTTCTTGGGTTTCAGGAACCTATAAAATCACGTGCACCACAACTTCATTTAGAATACAGGTTTTATAAACAGCTCGGCAGTGCAGGTAAGTCCCGTCTTTTCTCTCCAATTTCTTAGCATGTATCTTAGTTGGAAACCCTAAAGTATGCAGATACACCAGACTGTGTATCCCTCCTCCTTGCTGGGTAGGTAAATAAACACAGTCAGCTGAAAAGCTACTTGCTGTCTGGCTCCTAGAGGGGCAGTTGACTGGGGACCAGTGATGCCATGACTGTGTCCACAGACCAGCGACCTTGGGATGCTTTTACCTGCCTGAAACACACAAAGTATGGGTTTTGCTTTTTGGTAGTTCCTTCATTCTCTTTTCATTTTTTTTAATGTACACTGAGAGAAAGGAGGGGTTGGTATTTGCAAGCTATATTTTTATCACATTGATACTATGTATGTTTTAAAGACATTCAAGAATACACATTCTGAAATATAATACCATAACACTGTCATTTTGTCTGTTCTTATTAATTTACAAGAACTATCCATATGATGGAACCCTGGTATCACAGTGGTTCAGAGCTCAGCTGCTAACCAAAACGTCGGCTGTTCGAATCCACTAGCTGCTCCTTGGAAACCCTATAGGGCAGTTCTGCTCTGTCCTGTAGGGTCACTATGAGTTGGAATCGACTCGACGGCAATGGGTTTTTTGGTATCCCTATAATTGTGATAGCCATGACCTTTGGGGATTTTTAAAAATTAAGTTTATAATTTTTTAAAACATGTCTGTTTTTTGCCTAAAAGCTCTACGTTCTCAACTATCTCCCTGGCTTTCAGAAAAATATCTTGACTAAGCAAATGTTACCAACCCTAAGGAGGGTGTACCTGTAGGACACCTCTCTCAGAAGATGAAATCTTACAGAGCTAGTTTCATCATTTGACATTTGTAAAAGTTCCTCAGTTTTATGCTTCCTTTGGTATGACAGTTTTATGTGAATAACTGAAACATGGTTTTTATTTCAAATACACTATCGAAGGTACTAGTGAAGAAATTTGAGTCTCACTTCCTAGAATATGTAGAATTATATAAGAGCCATTGGGTGTTATTCAAATCTTAACATACCCTGACCACAGCAGTAATCAGCCATGGTTAAAACCTAGGGAGGCCAGGAAGGAAATTTGTCTTTCATTGAACCTAGCATAAATTCTTGCTCACAGTAGCCTCATGTATTTGTTGATTGATTATATCCTTAAACATCAAATGTTCCTGACATAGGATTTAAGATTGGCAGCTGAATTCACAGGATGTATATATAACTTGAGGCTTGTCTTCCCTAATGCCCCAGAACTAATCTTTAAAGTTGGCTATCTTCTTGTTCCTGGTTTTGTAAATTTCATGATGATAACTATGTGTAGCTCACTTATGATAAACATGTTTTTACATGTCTCATAAATCTAAGGCTCAGGTAAAAACGTGCTAGATCCAGCCCAACTTAGAAGTTTGAGTGGGCCTGAGGGAAGTGATAGACCAGTATGCCCTTCTAAACAGATCCACCAGATCAGGCCAGCCTTCCTTTTCATACTCTCCACAAATACAGGAGAACATTGTAGATTCTTGAAGTTTTAGCATTCTCCATGCACTGAAAACAAGTCAATAGGGAGAGCACTGGGGGAAAAGGGTCTAAAAAATTGCCTTTAACTTTAGGCAGCCATGAAAAACTGGAACCTCTGAGACTGGTACATCCCTTGTTGCAGTCAGTGGGAATAGGAGGGCTCTACTGTAGTGGACAGACCAGTTGTTGACTCATAGTAAGGTAGGCTGGCTATCACTGATCTTCTCAGTACCTCTTCTGACAATCATCTAAGAGTCATAAAGCTTTCTAGGTCTTAAATGAAGTTCAGTGGTGATTCATTTGTTCCTGGCCTCTTTGTTTTGTTAAGGAAACCCTGGTGGCGTGGTGGTTAAGAGCTTGGCTGCTAATCAAAAGGTTGGCAGTTTGAATCCACCAGGCACTCCTTGGAAACCCTATAGGGCACTTCTACTCTGTCCTGTAGGGTTGCTGTGAGTCAGAATCAACTCAACGGCAACAAGTTTGGTTTTTTTTTTGTGTGTGTGTGTTTACTGCTGTTAAAGTAGCTATGGTGGGTATCTTAAACTCTTGCCTGCAACTAACAAGGTAGTCACAAGCTTTTCCAAGACAGGAAGAGCCTTAAAGACCTGCCTCAAATTTCCACCAAGTGTGAGAATTCCTCCAGAATTTTCTTAACAAATGGTCATTCATCTCTGCTTGACCTTTTTCATCCATAGAGTTCACCACTCTGCAAGGCACTTCATGTTGGAAAGCCGAACGTATTGGAAGTTCTTCCTACTGGGCCAGCATTTTCTTTTTTTTATTTCCATGGAGCAAAGTTGGGCCTTATGTTAGCAGCTCAGAGGCGTTCATCCACAGCTGTTATATGCTGCTCCCTCCACCACCTACCTCCAGATCTTCTTTTTAAGCCAAGTGTCTGCAATTTCTTTAATTTTTTTGCATAACATGATTTGCAGGTATTTTATCACTGATTGATGTTAGCTTATATAAAAAAGATTTATAGGTTTCAACTGAGTACAGCTTCATAAAAGCATAAAAGTCAACTATGTGGAATGGCTGCTAGAAAAAGCTAGTGTAAAATGTTGAATTAATAGAAATATTGTATCCAGATCATGGAAGATAATAATACCACTGTCACCATATCTAGAGTAACTTGTTTTAGGAAGCTCACTTAAAAGGAACATCATGAAATTAGAATTCAGGTGTCTGTGTGTTCGTTCACATGTAGGTGCTTATTGATGGGGAGGAAATTTGTGGAGGAGACACTGCATTTTTGTAGTTACATAATGGATTTTAAGCACCTGAACATCTTAAATGTCATTTCCTATTTTGTCCTATTATGACTAAATACTAGGATATTTTTCTTTCTTGATTCTGTAGTTTTATTTATTATGAATTGCCTAGGTTTTTATTTTAACTGCATGAGACCATAAGCTTCTTGAGAACAAGGCCCTGTGCATTCTTCACCTTTATATCTGAAGTATCTTTAAGGCCCAACGTAGTTCTGTCACATAGTAGGCAGTTGGTAAGTATTTAAGTGATGGAAAGAAGTTAGGAAGGTTTGTTAAACTTGCCTTTTTAGATTTTTGACAGGTTGTTGATAAAAATATTCCTTGAGGATGGCCAAAAAAGGGCATTTCTTTTGAAAGTAGTCCAGTTGACAAGAAAGTAGACAAGATATTGTCATTTCTCATTGTAGATGTGAGCATGAACACTAGAGCTTGTTCCTAGACACAAACATTTCTCCCCCTGTTTTCCAGAGTAAGTTCCCACCTGCAAATGTAGTTAACATTTCCATAACCAGAGCACAGATGCCGCTCTCTTCAGAAACAAGGTGATGTCACGGCATTGTAAATAAGCCAATAGCTTTTCATGCCAAAGGCACACAAGGACCAAAATAATGTAATTGGTATTTTTACTCACTAATGCTGTGTTTATCATTACTCATCATAGGCCAATGCTTTGCAAAATATTTGAGTATCTGACAAGCAAGACTTTAAAATAAAATTAAAAAAAAATTGTGATGTGGGTTTATTCAGGGAATTAATCAGTGCGTGTAAAACACATAGATGAAATTCTTTGGGAGAAATGATTGATTATGAATTTAAAGAATACTGCTATTACAATCATAACTTGAGATTTTAAATTCCAAAAATAGGAACTTTTGTGTTGGCTTAAGACTATGAGCATTTATTCCCTAAGTACCCAGCTCTGAATCATTATCTTGGCTTTTTGGTCATGCATTTCACCTTGTCCATATAATCTGGAAGTCCATACCAGTTCTCCAATCACATGCAGATAAGAAGAAAAATGGCGGCCCTGGATGATTGTGAACATGGTTTACGCTGGAGCTCTTCCTCATTGTCCTTTCTTTTCCTTGTTTGATCTCTAACTGCTTCCCTTTCATTGGACTCTCTTCTCTAGTGGACAGTCACACATTTCAAGCTTTGTTTGCTAGTAGTAGCTTTGCCATCAGGAATTTCAAGACCTGATGATTTCCTATTAGGGTTAATATGTCCAGGATAATCAAAGAAGAACGTAAATAGGGCCTTGAGGGTCTTGAAACTGAGAGCAAGTTATCTTGATCTTTCTAATAACTATCATTATTTCTATTTTCATTTATTGTGGAAACCAAATTGTAAAATATTAAAGGGTACTTTGGGAGGGGATGATGATTCATACACTTACCACCGTAACCCAGCTACGTTTCACTTTAATATGTCTTTCTCTCCTTTCCATATGCAGACATATTTCATAGTTAATCTCAGTTCACATGAAAGTATGTCTTCTTTCACTTAACATTTGTCGAGAAGCTCCATAGTCTTAATGTTTCTAATCATTGTATAATATCCCAGCAGCTTCATAGACCATAATTTAGGCACCCATTTTGTATCGTCATGCATTTAGGTGTTTTTATTTTGGGAATGTTCATTTTTCCATATTGATTTCTGATACCTGAGTATCATAACTTAAGACTTTGCTTCTGTATGTTTTCCCACTTAACCCCCACTTACTTTCTCTTCTTGCCTCACCAACAGTTTCCTTTCACCATGAGCTGCTTTTCAAACGAAATATGTTTAATTTGATATCTAAGGATTTTTAACCTTCGGCTTTGAATACTTAGAGGATTGAAATACTGCCATGCTTGAAACCACATAGAAACAGATGATGGTTTGAGATTGAGGATGGTGGTGGTTTTTTGTTTGTTTGCTTTGTTTTGTTTTGTCTTTCCTCACTGTGTTACTCAGAGCCTGCACATCAAGTATAGCCCCAGCTCACAGCATTGCACCTGCTGGGCAGCAAATGCCCGGGGAAGCTCCCATGATAACCTTATTTAAACAGCAAAATTCAAAGCACCATGAACTTCCTGGAGGCCAGTGACTGATCAGAAACAGTTGCTAGCTAGAGATTGCTGCAAAGGTTTTACTTTTAAACACAATTGTTTTTTAACCTAGTAATAGATGAAAAAATGTTCAAGAATGTTCTCTATTTTCCAAAAACGCAT